GTTTTTTTTTTTTTTTTTGAGCAAGTTGTGTGTGTTCTTTAGGAGTAGTAAATGTGATCCTACTACAGGAAAGCAGCTCAGGCAAATTTCTCCTTTTAATGGAGGCAGTCTTGTTTTCCTGAATGTAGTAGCAGTGAATAAACACAAGCAACTTTATGACAGTTTCAATGCACATCTTTTCAGGAAGTCCTAGGCTGCTTATGTGGGTGTATTTCCTGACTTTTTCTGTCTGCCTTTAATAAAATTTCCCTTCCCTTTCTGTACAACATAAGGGCATTTAACGCATCCTGTGTGTTTTATAACTGATCCAAAGGAAGCATTTTTGTTCTATGTGACCTTTAACTTCTAATCTTCTGTACCATACAGGTCAATTAATGAGGTCTGAAATTTGTTTATAGAGCAAACATCTGCTTGTTCCATCATTGCTACCACCTTTTTATTCTGTAGGAGCCCAAAATACCTAATACATGGAGGATTTTAGTATACGGTGTTTAGCTTCATTTATTTTTAGAAACTTGTAGAAGACGCTTCCCTCTGCCAATGCCCTGATTATAAATGCGTTGCTGCATGACATCAGATTGCCTTAATAGGTTTTAGTATCTCGACATGTTTGGATTTCATTCAAGCGTTGCTCTACAGTAACAGCTAGATTCTGTTTTCTGTCACTCAAATGTTTTTGGCTATTGCATTACTAATGCAAGCTTTCAGCCCAAATCTGTATTTTAATGTAGCTCTGCATACTAAAATAGAAATAAGACTGGAAGGCATCATGTGATAGGGTTTGCCCTGAGGGAGCTGTGATGCTAGCTGAGAACACATGTAAGCACTTCAGAAGTGAACAACGCAAGATATAACAATGGATGTTTTTCAGGTCATTTCTCTGCCTGAAACTTTTCAACTCAAAACCCACCAGGACTTGTCTCCCTTAGCTTTTGCCCTTGGCTTAGAAGAGGAGAGCTATCCTTCTTCAGGCCAAGAATTTTCTTAGCTCAGTATCATCTCGCTGATAGCAGTTGATAAGAAGTCTTGGAGAGCATGAAATATGAACAAGTATGTCTTCCTCTGGCTAACAGTTTAGAGAATGCAGTTGATCTGAGTCTCGTTTTCCAGCTCTGATAAAATGCTTGGAGTGGCGTTACTAGAATTGATTCCTCAATGTCTTTTGAGTCAATAGCTAAGCCAAAGTTATAAGCAAAGCAAGTATCTCTATTGCATGAATACAGCTTCTCTGTCTAGCTGCTACTTTCTCCTTTATACTCTGGATGAAACCTAGTTGGGAAAAGAGCCGTGGGGAGCTATTCCTGGTTACAAGCTTTGAAATGGGAGGTTGTTTTGCCACTTAGGCACATCATAAAACAACAACAAAAGTAATTTTCAGTTCCTGGGGTACAAAATGAATGAGACAAAACAGGAGGCTGGTGCCCTCAACCGAACTGAATATCTTATTTCAGGCACCACGCTCTGTAGTGATGTATGTAATGAGGCTGCTTTTTGACGTCATGCTAGAGGCTGCCTTGTTGTACAGGTGGAAGCCCTGCTGCCCGCATCGTTCCAGCACTCGGAGCCCTACAGCACATTATCCCTGAAGACATATTCTATATCTGCTGCCTCTTCCCCCCATGATGCTGGAATTGAATAAGCCAGTTTATCTAAACCGTCTGCTCTTATCCGCCCAAGTCATTTGCAGTGTAATTGTATTGATTCCCTGTTTCTGATTTAATTTCATCACTTTGTGCTCCTTTTCTGGAGAACACAATATGTGTTAATGTATATCTTTCCCTCCCTGGCTGCTAAGTGGACTCAAAACCTGGCCTGGGCATGTTGTCCATGCCACACAGGCTCTGTCAATGCTGCTCATTTGCAGAAGCAATTTATTCTGCCTACTCGAAGAGGGCAGGCAAGGATCCTTTATGCCGCGTTCTCCCTGGCACCCAGCCAGCTTGCCACACAATTTACTAATCCTTACTTTTTAGTGTCTGTCATTTGAAAGGCTTAGCCTGAGCAGGAGGAAGAAGACAGTCTTTCCAACAGACTGTAGAGAGAAAGGAGATGAATGGAAAAATAGGAAATAATAGGAAATAATATGGATGCAATGGGGCAATAGTGCATCAGTTTTATAAAACTCTTGTTGGTGTTACTCCTGTAACTCTGATGGTAAAGTGAAGAGAAGTTGCAGGTTGAGCTGCATGTACCTCCCAATAGCTTGTGGATAAGAATAGGCATTCATTTCTTGGTATTAGGGATGAAATTGCACATATTTTTGCTCAGAATTAAAACAGCACTAAAACTGCTGATTTAGGTGACCAGTTATGGATTTAGATAATTAACCTTCAGCCTCCCTATGAAGGGAGACTTGACAGCAGAATAGTGATAATGTAGCTTTATCCCTGAAGTTCTGCCAGCATAACTCCTGGTGTGTGTACTCCCACTGACTTACTTTAACATCAGTATAACTATAGTGGTGTAATTCTGCTGGTACATATCTCCATGCAGACAGGCCCTAGATTCCCAAGACTAGGCAGTGTGCAATTTTACATCATGAGGAACTGAGAAAATACTTATTTAGTAATATCATTATGTAAAGTTTGTTGAAGTTAGACTTAAACAACGTGTTCCATAATGAAAAACTCTAAAAGGGCAAAATATTAAGAAAAACATGATAAACATGTTCTTTCAACTCACAGTGAAGTAGCATATTACTTAACATTGCAAAGGGTGGAATTGCTAGAGTTGATAACAAAAGAAGAGCGGAGGCTCCAATGATTCCTCTTGTATCTTGACTGAAGTCAGTAGAGTTACTCAAATGGCATCTATCCCACTGTGTTCTGGGGAAGGCTACTGGAAAAAGTGTATTTTGAATTAGACTCTATCTCTTCTAGCTTTTCTGTCTTGTGTGAGGACTTAGTATTTTTTCCTTGGAATAGCCCAGAAGTTGCTGAGTTTACATGATGAATTGGATCCGTTTTCTATAATGCCAGAATCCAAATGCCTCACAGGTTTTCCATCCACCAAATCTTTCTTTTGTAGCTATGACAAGCGCAACAGAGAAGTTAGAATTTTGGCCGAAGGAGAAAAGCTTCAGGAAAAGCTGGAGACCAACATGAGGAGAAACCTGATCCCTAGAGAGCTCCTTCATGTAAATGCAAGTGGCTGCTTTTCCTACAGTAAAGTAGGATCTGATACTGCAAGTTGAAGTTTAGTAGCTTGAGTATTGTCTCTGTTACAAAAGGCATCTGTAGTAATGGGATACCTTTTGCTCAGGTATAATCGATTCAAAATAAGTCAGTGCAGCTCTGTACTTGTGACTACTTACGCTAAAACCTGATGCTAGAGTAGGACTTTATTTCACATATTGACCACAGACCTCTATAGGAATAGAGCTGAGACAGCAGAAAGCTGCTAGAATGATGCAATGCCTCAAAGACTCCAGGGTTAATCCTGCTGGAATGGAAAAAACGAGAGCCATATTATTTGAAAAACAAATGACAGACAAACCCCAGTTAGCTCTTTGTACTTTTGAAAAGCCTGAAATAATGAGAATGGGTTACATTCTTATTTTAGCTGGTGCAGATTTGCACCAGAGGTTACATTGCTCCGGACTTATAGTAACTGACAGCAGATATTTTTGAGGTGTGAAGAGATATTGTCGAGTGCTTCCTTGTCCTCCCTATACTTGAGGTGCAGAGCTGTTGCTCTGCACCTTTGATATTACTGAGTTATTCTGACAGCCTACAGACGCGGAATTATTTTTACAGTGGAAGAAAGGAAGGTACAGAGAAATGGAAGAACTTGCATGGGATTGCATAGGAAATCAGTGGCCAAACCAGGAGCTGAAATCAAACTGCTCAAGTCCTTGTCTGATATGTTAAAACAAAAGCTCATTCCTCATCTTTGCTTCCTTTGTTAGCGTAAGTTCATGCAGGCCAAGAGCAAGAAAATGACAGTTAAAAACAGAGGGGCCTGGATTTTCCCTGTCGCCGGAACAGTTGGAATCTACTTGGAATTAGCAAAACCGTTCACTGCCACTGCTATCAAGGGAGGGAGGCTTGTGTGCCAGGATCCAAGCAACGTGGGCAGGACTTTGCTTAAAAAAGAAAACCAAATCCCTGCTGTAGGCACCAGATTTTCAAGTGATGCTTCTGCTACTAGGCAAGGAAGCAAACTGATCGTGCTTTCAGAAATGCTCCATGGCTCTTGAAGAGCCACACGAACAGCTGAGCACTTGAAAACCAGGCCACAAACTAACAAGGTCGTCAGCAGATGCAATGAGCATGCCTAGCTTTACTTAAAGAAGCATTTGTATTGAAAAAAGCAAAGGGGAGCTTGTGGGCTGTGGCTGCTAAGTCAGCATTAGGAAAAGGATAGCGAGAGGCTTCCTTCCTTTGAAATTACTTGGAGTACAGCAAACTTCAGGGTTCTCGTGAAACTTAGGAGGAAACTGCTCGTGCTTTTGCCTTGGCAGTAGTTATGTTTCGAGCAGTGAGCCAGGAGAAGTCCTGGGTGGAGGCAAGCCTTTGGCTGTTCTTCACTCTGTTTCAGACAGATCACATGCTGTTTGCACACTGGGACAATGCAGTATCCTCTCAACCCCAAAAGCGCAGGGTGTGAGTGATTTTTGCTGTAGCTCGGGTAGTTGCGTTTTTGTCAAAAGGAGGCACGTTAATTTTCAGTCTCTGCTACATCTCTGCTACAGCTCCTCCTTTCTCTTTCTGATGAAATCTAGATTAATTTTTCCAAAATACAGATAGCTGGATTAAACTGGCTCTTTAGTCTGGAACTTCAGCTGAGGGAGCTATACCTGTTAGAGACAAGATTAGAGGGGATGTGCTGAGGGTATCGTCCTCTTCAAAGCTACCATCCCTTATCCTCCTTCCCCCCCCCCCCCCCCCCCATGGCTGAGAAACCCCGTCAGAATCCATGAATGCTTATTAAGGCAGAAAAGCCGTGGAAAGGGAAGGAAACAATCACTCATTCATCTGAAACTTCCTATTTCATTTCAGAGACTTTCTGCCACGTGGATCTGGCATCGTAACCAGACGCCCGCTGGTCCTGCAGCTGGTGAACTCCAGCACAGGTATGTGAGCTGCCTCCCCTGTGCGTCCAGCTGGATTGCTTTTAGTCCATGAAGGTCTTGTTTGATCAATGGCACTGCTCAGTATGAAAAAAATAAATTAAAATTTTCCCCACTAAAAATGACCTGCAGCTGTTTTTCAGTTCTGCCTGTTTAATATCTGATGGATTAAATGTTCAGATGCAAAATGCTTTTCAGTCATTTTGTTTTGAATTTATTAGGCAGGGTTTCATGCATGCACTTGTCATGATTTTCCTTTATCTCTACAGCTGTGACTTTTCTGAATGGATAAGATGAAAAGGCTAGGAGGACCCTGCTAATTATCCCCTGAAATGAGGGACTGAGATGATTTTAGACTACTGAAAACCCAGTGTAACAACACTGGGATCTGGAGAGGAAAGATTGTAGTAGAGTTCTGTGGCTGATCTTCTGAGCAGTTCACTGTTTTTGCTACTTGCTTGCAGGCGTATTTTCATTAGTCTTCCCCTTCTAATATAAGTTACAGGTCTCATCCGGGAAGCTGGTGAGTGAATGCTTCAGGGTACTTTTCCTCTCTTGCAAGGTGAACTTGGCCCTTTGACAGCAGTCCTCTTGTCTCGAATAGTGAGGCAACTTGAAATAGGGGTGGTTTTGGTTTGAAATGGAGGGTTCCTGGATTGGCTAGCCTGTTCAAGGACTAAAAGCAGCTGCCTTGTCAGAAGTTTTCTTTGCTCTTTCTCTGTGGGTCTCTTCTCATTGCATGAGACTATTATTTACCCCTGCCTCTTTAATATAGAGCTAGCCCAAGCTCTCCTAAGTACCGAGGTAACTCCCACTGCAGCTATGGCAGTCATCCCTGCAGGCAGGTGCATGCTAAGCTTGCTTAGCTCCAACAGAGGAAGACGTGGATTATTAATTGAATGAGGACAAGTGAGGATGCCACCTCTGCTGGGATAAGAGCTGGATTGGGAAGCTCTTGGGCTCACTTAGGCGTTCTCAGCTGTTGATCAGGTAGCAGGATTGCAGTTACTTCTTTGCAAGCCTGCCAGGCTCTAGTGGGTGAGGCCCTTGCCAGACCTTATCCCTTCAACTGTTTTATTGTTTTGTTTTGTTTTTACTCCGGTACATTACGTTTTCATTTAAAAGAATTGAATGTTTCTCTGTTGACTCCAATAACTATTTCTGACTCTTTGCTTCTGTTTAATCAGAATATGGTGAGTTCCTCCACTGCAAAGGAAAGAAATTCACTGATTTTGAAGAGGTCCGTTTGGAGATTGAGGCTGAAACAGACCGTGTTACAGGCTCTAACAAAGGGATTTCTCCTGTGCCCATCAATCTGAGAGTCTACTCTCCCCATGGTAAGTCCTTACACAGCATCTGAAGTCAGGAGGTAGGTGAGGCAGGTTGTTACTTTGTCATGAAGCAAAGATGGGAAGAAGGGAGATGAAATGGGGAGCGTTTGGATGATTGGTTGTGTGGGGGATGTGGGGTTTTTTATTTTTTGGTTTTTTTTGGTCACTAATCTCTGTGCCTTGGCCATGCTATGCCAAACTGTCAACCTTGGCCATGCTTCTGGAAGGGTTTTGTCTGCTACGTTCTAGTCTTTGACTTTTTCCAGCTGAAGTATCTTGACTGCCAGCAGAAGATGCCTCCCTGAAACAACTGTCTTAAGAAATAACTTGCTCCTCAAAGGAGAGCTCTGTTCCATCAGCGTTCCCTTCGCTGTAAAGAGCTGCTGTCTCCCCCTGCTTTTTGATACTGCTTTACTGGGTACCCGAAATGCAACAAAAATGTGGATGGAAAAGGGAGAAGGGTGGCCTTCTCGAAGAGCATGGAAATATTCTTTGCTTAGATCTCTCTAGATAGTGCCCACGTATGACAGTGATTTGCAGTGGAAGAATTCTGCTTTAACAGTGGTCCCAGGTTTGTCAGCTTTTTAAATGTAAACAGCTGCTTGGGTGTCATTTGGAAAGCAGCAGCTTGGTGCTACACCAGCAGTTGGCTGGGTAGGACTTGTGCATGGCTTTTTCTCAACAAGACAATTAAACAGTTATAGGGCTGCATGTTATGGTCCTTCAGGAGAAGGCCCAGCTGACTTTGACAGGACCGCTGCTTGCCTAAGGAGTGTATGACTGAGCCCGTTAATCCTGGGAGTAGTCCTTAATGAGTGGAGCCAACTCTTTTGATCCTCCAGTCTGTGCTGTGGGGTGAAAAGCGTTACGGTCATCTCTTTTCCTTCAGTGCAGCATATCTGGAAGGACTTTGAGGACACAAAGTTCCCCTGATGTGCCTGAGAACAAGTGATTTTTAAAGGGAATGACAAGAGAGATGAGAAAATTGTAGCGGCTCAGGACAGTTGTGCTATAGGACTCAGGCTGCAGGTATGGTGCTGCTCACCAGCTGAGTCAATCTTGGTGTTCATTCAGTATAAAGACTGGCAAAAAAAGTGTTGATAGTCCCCAGGACCCCTCTCCTATCTGCTGTCCTTTATTGTTACCTCACAGATGTGCAACAGCCTTTTGAAATGTTATTAACCTCATTTTACAAATAAGAGAATGGACACGTAGAGAACTGTGACCTTTCAGAGCCTTGCAGCAAGTCAAGCAGATCCTGAGACTCCTTGCTCTAGACTTCCTCTTAGTGCCGTGGAATTCTGATATCCGTGTTCTGCCTTCCGGGCTCCACTTCCAGCCTCCAGACTGAACTAGTTGTTACTAAGCAGTAACAAAAAGGAACTAGAAAACTCGACATGCTTCTGAGTTGTGTGTGTGTACCTGTCATGCCTATCGTATGTTGGAGACATTGCAGCTACAGGTACTCCTTATAGACCTGAACAGTTCTACCTCAACACTCGCTTGTGTTTTCTCCTTGTTTCCTGTGCCTAGTCCTGAACCTGACCTTGGTGGATCTACCAGGTATGACAAAAGTCCCGGTGGGGGATCAGCCCCCTGACATTGAGTTCCAGATCCGAGATATGCTCATGCAGTTTGTCACCAAAGAGAACTGCCTCATCCTCGCGGTATCCCCAGCCAACTCTGACCTGGCCAACTCTGATGCTCTGAAGATTGCAAAGGAGGTGGATCCTCAAGGTAAATGTCTTTTATTTTAGCATGACATTACTTACCAGAGGTCTGATTCTTCTTTTGTCTCGTGGTTATGACTATCCCAGTTGCTGTGGGCTTCCATCTCCTGTCTTGGGTTGTACGTTCACCAGCGCACAACCTTCTGGGAGGTGGTTTTGAGTGTCAGCAAGGCTTGTTATAACAAATTTTTTGTAATCTCCTCCTTTGCCCCTGCCCCATTCCTGAAGTGGTTAGACTTCCCCTCGTTCACTTTGCTCATCCACAGCCTGCCTGGTAGATGTAGTGAGTACATAGGAAACGCTGCGCTATGCTCTCTGCGTATAGGCATTTCAGCAGGGCATAACTGAACTGACCTCCGTTATCTGGTTTGGTTTGATGGCCTTTTGGGCATGGTGGGAATCTCACGTGTTTGAGTGCAAGAGCCTTTGAGTAGCCAAGCTGGGCAATGTGTAATATTTTTCTCCCTTCAGAGAACTTTCAGGAGCTGTTTGCTTGATCAAGTATGCTTGTGGGTTTTTGTAATAGGGCAACGCACTATTGGAGTCATCACTAAACTGGATCTTATGGATGAAGGAACTGATGCACGAGATGTATTAGAAAATAAATTGCTTCCTCTTCGTAGAGGTACGATTTCTCTTGCTTTGCTCGTGATTTCCTGTCTTCATCTTCCCTGTGTAAGGAACCCTGGCTTCATCCCCTTCCTTTGGTGTTCGTAGAACCTCTGCTATAACTTGTGGTTAGGCCATCTTTGTTCCAAGCCAGAGTCAAGAAAAATTGGGAGGATGAAAGGGATGAATTATACTGTTATTGGGAACTCTTCAGGTGTTTGAATTTTGATATGGAGTCCTAGGAGAAGCATAGCCTTATTCTTAGATGATCTTTACATCCTCTCCCCTCACTTCTTTGGGGGACCAAAACAATAAATAAAATAATTCTCAGTTCCATAGTCATATTCTTATTCTGCATACCAAGTATCAGAACCTGGATTTTTCAGAGGAAATTCTAATTTAAACTCCTCTAATTGTTTCCTGCTAATGAGTTGCCTTTGTAGTCTCCCTCTTGCTATGTTGCCAGCTGTCTAACTTTCTCTTCATGCTCTGACTCGCTGTTATGTTCTCATCCTTGCAGCCATCTGATCTCTAACCCTCACTCTTCCAGGTTACATTGGTGTAGTCAACAGAAGTCAGAAGGATATTGATGGCAAGAAGGACATTCAGGCTGCTCTGGCTGCAGAGAGAAAATTTTTTCTCTCCCACCCAGCCTACAGACACATGGCTGATCGCATGGGAACCCCCTACCTGCAGAAAGTATTGAACCAGGTACTGTCACCAGTTGGGAACTGCCACCTACTGTGTCACAAAACTGTTGCTAGGCTGGTCATCAAGGCTTCTCTGAGATGGAAAAATACTGACAATCCTACAATTTTTGGTCGACAAGCTGATAAATATTTACAATTGTCTGGAAGAGGATCTCTCTCAATCCCTGTTTTGCCAGTGAGCCTTGTGAGGACTGGTTGACTCTTTTCCTTTTCTGCATCATAAAAGGAGGTGCAGTGCCAAGTCTTATGAAGTGTGCCTGATTAGGATAACACTGATGTAGTGAAACCCATTAAGGCCAATAGTTGAGCTTACACACTAATTGAGCTTACGCACTGCTTTATTCTCTCAGTGGCACTGGAGCAAAATTAATAGTCAGTTCATGGAGTTCATCTGGATTTACGCTAACAGAAAGCAAGGTCTTTCTGATTACCCCAAAAATCCCTTCTAAACCTCTAGTGGTCTCTGTGCCTAATGGTAAGCTACAAAGATTGGTTTTAAATATGAAATAAAAAATGATATCTTCCTAAACCTTCTTCCTGTACAGCAATTGACCAACCACATCCGTGACACCCTGCCAGGGTTGCGGAACAAACTCCAGAGCCAGCTTCTCTCCATTGAGAAGGAGGTGGAGGAGTACAAGAACTTCCGCCCTGATGACCCTGCCCGCAAGACCAAAGCTCTGCTTCAGTAAGTGACCTCAACTGACATGTCCCTCCCTGTAGAAACTGCTTAGCCATGTATTCTACTTTATGCTTTTTGTTTGCTTTAGGATGGTCCAGCAGTTTGCTGTGGACTTTGAGAAACGCATCGAAGGCTCTGGAGACCAAATTGATACCTATGAGCTGTCGGGAGGAGCTAGGATTAACCGCATCTTCCACGAGCGTTTTCCCTTTGAATTGGTGAAGGTACAACTGCCCACTGAGATCCAATTTTTCTATTTGCCTGTTGTCTGTCACCTCTCTCTTCTGTCTGGCTTTTTACCTCTCTTGGTATCTTTCATCAGCTATCTTCCTTGTAATTGACTACTGTTTTTTAATTTCATCTTTCCTTTTATCACCTCTTTCTTCGTTTCCTGTTGTCGTCTTCTTGCTGGAGCCTTTTTACAGTGCTGACCTTTCCCTTAAACCTTTGTCCTTGTAACAGGACTTGAACTTTCTCGTCCTGATTAGATGAAAAGGTTTGTCTAGCTTAAATCCTAAATGCTAAATTAAATGTGCAAAGTAACTTCCTTTGACACAGACAATAGCAAAACGATGTCTGAATGTCCTTGCAGATATGTAGTGTCAGAGCGGTTTTCCAGACTGAATTGCACATAGTGCAAGTGGTGCTGAAACCTATAACTTCCTTGATTATCAGCACTGGACTGGGCCTGAAGTTGCCTTAAAGCGTACGCATGAAGCAGAAAAGAGGACGTAGGCTGTATGTGGGGATACACCTATCTGTCCTTCTCCATCAGCAGCCTAGAGGTGGAAATGATATAAACTCCTCTACTGTCATAGTAGCTGAAGAGGATCTTTGTTGTCCCAAGAAAACTATCATTCCATAAAGTGTATTAACTTGACAGGAAGAAGTGATAGGGGAAAACTTTTTTTTAGCATCAATTTGAACAGAATCAAGAGACAAAACATTCCACTCTGTTTTGGATTTTCTGCTTGCTTTATTGTTTCTTTCCTTTTTGCATTTAAATAAGATAAGGCCTTGTTAGTGAAGGACTAGAGCCTGCCTTGTATTGGATAATAGATTTCTGAGGTCTTCATTGAAGAAGGGGGATGGTGTGTGGGGGAGAAACTGCCAAGACCTCATGCTAAATCACAAGAGACAAAGCAGGTTGTTTTGGAAAGCAATCTAACTCTTCAGTCCCATTCCTTTGTCTCTAAGGAGACACCATGTTGCCCAAGGGAACTGCTGGGGCTTGGCACCCATAAATGCAGGCCCTTAGCTGTTCACGTTTGTCCAGGAGGTCCACATTGGCAACAGAAGCATTATGGCTGGACTCTGTATCCAACTTCTGGGCGAGTATCTCATGACAGCGGTGCTCATGGCTCGGCATGGGTCCTTTCTCTGCAATGCACGCTGTTGTGTATCCCATTTGAGCGTATGTGCAAATGGGAGGGTCAGACTGATTCTGATCAAATTCTCTCTTGGTGCAGATGGAGTTTGATGAGAAGGAGCTGCGACGGGAGATTAGCTACGCCATCAAGAACATCCATGGTATAAGGCACGTATCACACGCTAGGCAGACCGCTGGCTGTGTATCCTTGTAAATACCTCTAGCCCTCTGAGCGGAGCTGAAGACTGCGGAGGTACGGTAGGTCAGCCAGAGGGGAACGATTGCCTTCCCGGGCCCTCCAGCAGCTTGAGCAGCCTTGAATTTGGAAGCAGGGACAATCGACCAAGTCAGTTTGCTTTCTGTTCCCACGTGAGTGTCGCAGAAGCCCAAAAGGTAAATCTGCCTTGGTGGTTAGTTATTTTCCTGCTCCTTGTGTTTTGATGTAAGGAAGAAAGGAGAGAGGGAGGGAGGCAAGCCCCGGCTGCTACTTCAAGCCCTAGTGCTACTTCATTTAATTTTAAAAGTTCGTTGCCACTTCCTCGCTATATTAACGACCGCCCATAATAGTCACCTGGGGCTGAGCACCTCAACTGCTACAGACTTGAGGGGAGCACTGAGGTGCCCAGCACCAGGTCCCATGGCTCAGGTGGGAGCGCGTCCCAGTGGCCGGAGGCACACACGCCTGCGTTTCCCTCGGCGGAGGTGAACGGTTGGAAAGCGCAGCCTCACCCCCCGCCCCCCTGCCGCTCCCAGGAAGGCAGCCGGAGCCTGGCGCCTCAGAGCCCTTCCCGCCCGCTGGGGTGCGAACAGCTACTGACCTACGTTTATCATCACTTTTTTTTTTTTTTAAGCTTAGTCACTAGCTGAGTTTAAGAGAGGGGGATCAAACATGTTAATGTCCAAATCCTTAAGAAAAGGCCTCCTTACCTGCTGCACGACTCCAAGGTAAAATATGCTGTGGAGGGGTCTGGCCTCTTGCCGCCCTCCGGCCTGGCGGCTGAGGTGAAATGGCGGCTGAGGTGAAATGGCGGCTGAGGTGAAATGGCGGCTTGGTGCTGGTGTCCAGCAGGGGGTGATTCTGCCCACAGCGCCTCCATTCCCCCGCCTTTCCAATCGGGCGCGGGGTGCGACGCCCCCTCTGCTCGGCGTGCTGGGTTTCAGCGGAGGCGATGCCTGCTCTGAGACGTGTATGTAATGCTGTGACGTTCTCCTTGCCCCCTCTCCCCCTCCTGCCTTGTCTCGCCCCCCCCACCCTGGGTGTTTAGAACCGGTCTCTTCACGCCCGACATGGCCTTTGAGACCATTGTGAAAAAGCAGGTGAAGAAGATTAAAGAGCCTTGCCTGAAATGCGTGGACATGGTCATTTCGGAGTTAATCAATACCGTTAGACAGTGCACCAAGAAGGTAACCGGAGGCAGCATGGAGCTGACCCGTTCCCACTGCTCGCTGGCTGCGGCGCAGCACTGTGGCCCGGGCAGGGCCTTGCCTGCAGCGAAACTCGCTGTTTCTAACCACCTCCTCAGCATGACTAGACCTGAGCGGTACCAGCCTGGGGCGATCCAGCCAACAAGCCAAACGGGAAGGGAAGCGCTGCAGGGCCTGGGCCATGGCCTGGTTCTCCTGTGGCGTTAGAGCCGAGGGGAGGCTGAAAATGTCCCGTCCTGTTTCCCTCCCTCCTTCCCCCCCTTAGCAGGACTCCCGATTCCTTCCAAAGCCGAGGTTATTTCTTCTTGTAGGGCTATATTTGATTTTGAATTTAGCTTCTGGCTTTGTTTTCCAAGCCAGAAGCTGGGATTTAGATTTCGCCCCCTCTGTGCTTGTAGAAGTGGGGGTGGGTTAATCCTGAGCTAGCCTTCAATGTCGGTGCTGGGTGTACGGAGCTGAATGTTGGAGGCCGCAGCCGTTACAGCCGCAGGCTGTGTCGCAGGGAAACGTTCCTGTGGTGTTTGGCTTGGTTTCTGGTTGGCTTGGCCCGTGTCCTGTTCTGAAAGAGCGGCGCATGGCTGAGAAGAAGCAAGTTGGAAACATCCAGCCACCTCTGGGCAGCTCCTTCCCCCTCTGAGAGAGGGAGGGCTTTGGGCTGTGTCCTCTGGGACCCATATTGGGCTTCAGTGGAGCCAGGGGAGGGAACCTGCTGTAACACTGTCATCCGGATATGGCAGCTTGTTTCTGTGGCGGGGCTTGGGCTGGGGTTGAAAAGCAGCAGGAGACAGATGGGAAGATACCTGCTGCTCCTCTCAGCCATGGCTTGCTGCTTCAGACAGGGCCAGGTACTAGTGAAAAGGCACCTGAGTTAGGAGGTAGCATGGGCACCACAGACTGGAATCACCACTGGCTTTTCAGGTGCAGGTAAACGGGCGTTGCAGGAGGTACCTGGGGAGCACCTGACATCTTGCCTTTGCAAAGGGA